TCACTCTCTCTCACACTCACCCCTCACACTCATTCTCTCACACTCACTTTCTCTCACACTCACTCTCTCACACTCTCTCACACTCACTCTTTCACACTCACTCTCACACTCATTTTCTCACACTCACTCTCTCACACATATACACTCTCTCAGATGCACACTCTCTCACAGTCACTCTCTCACTCACTCTCACACATACACACTCTCTCTCGCACTCTCTCTCTCACACACACTCTCTCTCACACACACTCTCTCTCACACACACTTGCTCTCATGTACACACAATCTCTCTCTCACGCACACTCTCTCTCTCACACACACTTTCTCTCTCTCACACACACATTCTCTCACACACACTCTCTCACACACACTCGCTCTCACGTACACACACACTCTCTCACACAATCTCACACACACACATACTCTCTCTCTCACACACCCTCTCTCACACACACTCTCTCTCACACACACTCTCACACACACATTCTCTCTCACACACTCTCTCACACACACTCTCTCTCACGAACACACTCTCTCACAAACACTCTCACACACACACTCTCACACACACTCTCTCGCACACACACACACACGCATCTCTCTCACACACACACACGCATCTCTCTCACACACACACACTCTCTCACACACACACTCTCTCTCACACACACTCTCACACACACACACTCTCTCACACACACTCTCACACATTCTCTCTCACACACACTCTCTCTCTCACACACACTCTCTGTCACACACTCTCTCACACACTCTCTCTCACACACACTCTCACACACACACACTCTCAAACACACACTCTCGCACACACACACACATCTCTCTCACACACACACTCTCTCTCACACACATCTCACACACACACTGTCTCACACACACTCTCACACACATACTCTCTCACACACACTCTCAAACACACACACTCTCAAACACACTCTCACACACACTCTCTCGCACACACACACTCTCTCTCACACACTCTCTCTCACACACATGTTCACTCTCTCTCCTCTCTCACACACACACTCTATCTCTCACACACACACTCTCTCAGACTCTCTCTCTCTCACACTCTCTCTCTCACTCAATATCTCTCTCTCTCTTACACTTACTCTCTTACACATTCTCTCTCTTACACACTCTCTCTCTCTCACACACTCACTCCCTCTGACACACTGTCTGTCTCTCTCACACTCTCTCTCTCTCACTCTCTCTCTGACTCAATGTATATCTCTCTCTCTTCCTCACTCTCTCTTCCACTCTCTCTTACACACACTCTCTCTTACACACTCTGTCTCTTTTACACACTCTCTCTCTCTCACACACACACACACACATACTCTCTCTCTGTCTGTCACACACTCTCTCTCACTCTCCCCCTGTCACTCTCCCTCTGTCACTGTCCCCCTGTCACTCTCCCTCTGTCACTGTCCCCCTGTCACTCTCCCACACATTTTCTCTGTCCGTTATGCTCATATTTTATCTAATTCTCTGAGTATTTTCACTTTTTTTTATCATTCTCAAACCCATCCCCCCCTCTCTGTTACTCTCATTCACACACTCACTTTCTCTCTATCACCCTCGAAATTATTCCATATGTCTGTCACTTTCATCCTGTCACAGTCACACTCTCCCTCCGAAACACACTCTCCCTCTGTGTCTCATTCACAGTCTCTCTCTCTCTCTCTCTCTGTCATACATACTCATTCTCTGTCTCACACCATTAGAGGGTCAGTGCTGAGGGAGCGCCGTACTGTCGGAGGGTCAGTGCTGAGGGAGCGCTGCAGTGTCGGAGGGTCAGTGCTGAGGGAGCGCCGCACTGTCGGGGGGTCAGTGCTGAGGGAGCGCTGCACTGTCGGGGGGTCAGTGCTGAGGGAGCACCGCACTATCTAAGGGTCAGCGCTGAGGGTGTGCCACGCTGTCGGAGGGTCAGTGCTGAGGGAGCGCCGCACTGACGGAGGGTCAGTGCTGAGGGAGCGCCACACTGTCGGAGGGTCAGTGCTGAGGGAGTGCGCACTGCCGGAGGGTCAGTGCTGAGGGAGTGGGCACTGTCGGAGGGTCAGTGCTGAGGGAGCGCTGCACTGTCGGAGGGTCAGTGCTGAGGGAGTGGGCACTGTTGGATGGTCAGTGCTGGGGGAGTGGGCACTGTCGGAGGGTCAGCGCTGAGGGAGCGGGCACTGTCGGAGGGTCAGCGCTGGGGAAGCGCCGCACTGTCGGAGGGTCAGTGCTGAGGGAGCGCCGCGCTGTCGGAGGGCAGAATATCAGGGTCTCTGGATCGTTAACACAGTGACAATCCAATCCAGCCATTGGAGTGTTTGATGGGGGGACAGTGTAGAGGAAGCTTTACTCTGTATCTAACCCCGTGCTGTCCCTGTCTGGGGAGTGTTTGACGGGGGACAGTGTAGAGGGAGCTTTACTCTCTATCTAACCCTGCCCAGCATTGTAGAGCTGAACAAACAATATGCCATTCAGCCCCTCCCCTTGATGCTGGTACAGAAGGATAGCACAGCAGATCGCTCTGACAATCAGTGAGGTGATGGTTAATGCGACAACACACTCTCAGTTAAACCGCATAACCCTTCACACCTTTTCTAAAGCAAGAACACGGTGAGCACACGGATGTAAAAACAGTCGATGAAGTGACTTTGCAGGGGAGAGTTCTAAAGATTTCCCAGCCTTTCCTGTGTGGGGAATGCTTCCCCACCTCACTCCTGACAGGACAAATTTGTAAAATCTCTCCTCGTCCTAGAACCCCTGACCAAGGGAAATAGTGTTTCAGCAAAAACCCTTCCCATTGTTCATGGTATTGATCACAAATATTTGTTTTAAAGTTGGAGCTTGTGCATCAATCAACAGCTTGGTGTGAAATGCAGATGTTTTTTGATGAGGGGAACAATGCTATCGCTGTCTCTGTCTGTTTGGATTATAAACAGTGATTGAAACCTCTCCATCTTGTCACTGTCATCTCCCATCGCTGGAGGCAAACACAGAGCAACCAGCCTTTCAATAAACAACGAAAGGAGCCAGGACTGAGCTCACCTCCAGCTCACTTAAACAGGGCGTGAAGGGCAAGGGTGGCCACGTGGCCCACTGACACGGTACTGGCTCCTTCCCGAACCAATATCCAAGTGAATCCAACTCTCCCGTCCTCTCTCTACTGAGGACTCAATTCTGAAGCAATTCTGAACCGTCCGACTCCTGTCCAATGTACCTCAACACAGAAAACACTGAAAAAGAACAACACTGCAGCTCTCCCTCAGCACTGACCCTCTCACAGTGCGGCGCCCCCTCAGCACGGACCCTCCGACAGTGCGGCGCCCCCTCAGCACTGACCCTCCGACAGT